AATTTCGCCAGTGTTTTGTGGTTTCGCGTGACAGAGCTCGGTTACAAACAGAGACAGTCTATATTTCTAACAAATGAACACTGCTTTTGAAATTGAAACAAAGATGGAGTAGAATAGTTGTCTTTGTGTTGTAGGCCTAATCGGTGTGAAATTCATCGAGTGTCGAGCGGATTGGAGTCGAGCGCTTTCCTACCTGCTATATATATTAACAGTCACTGTGCACAGTGAGCAATGGCGGCGTTAGTGTGTGTGCATAGAGCATTTACACGGAATTGACAGGAAACTGTCGGCAATAATAGGTGAAAGAGAGTATAGAAACATTAAGAATTTTGTAGTACTACTACTAGTATTCGATTTCGTATTTATTTAGCATTATATTTTATTGAAACGTTTCAAGTGCCTATGCCTATGTCTATGACTATCACCGGCACAGCCAGCAGCAGCAGCAATAATAACAGCAACAACAAATGCACCACCATCACCACCACCACCACCACCACTACCAACAGCAGCAGCACTAACAACAACAACAACAACAACAACAACAACAACAACAACAACAACAACAACAACAACAACAACAACAACAACAGTTAGCGGTCATTGCAGCTAATGTCCGTAATGAGCTATCATGATACCGAATTTTCTGTCTATTGACAACAAGTTACAAACATTTTAGAGATAAAATTATATATATCCTAAAACTTGAACTATGAGATAACCACCTGACTATATCTCTGAAGCTAACGTGTGATAAAATGTAAATCAAAACATCAGAAGGCAATTCATCCAACGTTATGATGGGGGATTCCATCTTGGATGTAACTGTGCCGCCATCTAGTGGTCGCAATAGAGTATATATTTGCGCTATGAGTTGTCTGACCGATATTTTTACACCTACCCTCAGAAGGAATATTCATCATAGAGCAAGAAACTGTACAAAAAAACGCGCTCCTAACTTTAATCAATTAACCCAGCGGATTAACGTAAATATTCTGCTATTTTACATAGAGCAGACGAATTTTAGGAGAGATAGAGAGTACGTGATAGAAAGTACAAAATTATAATATTTGAACTGGTTCTGTACACAAGCAGATTTCTGTAATTCCAAATTGTCAATTTCTGTCATTCTATGTTTTCAATTCTCTTCCTTCCTCTTTAATTAAATAAGAGTCAATAAAGTTCAATAAAATTGAGGACAAATAAAATCGACTGCGATCCACAATATTGATCTGTGTAGGGCCCCTATATATTCCATTAAATTTGATTAAATCTCTCCGTGAGATGTCTCTCTCAGTCTTCAAAACGGTCCACTGGACTTTGAAGACTAATCATTATAAGGTTATGAGGTGTGTGTATAATGAGGATCATGACAGCTGTAGATGTAAGTAAGGATCAGTAACTCTAGGTATCGCCGCTTGTGTGGTGGGATTTAGTGGCCTGACAACCTGAGATGTTGATCTCGTATTTATTCTTACATAAAGAAGCAAGGAAATGACGTCATATGGCAGCATGAAATTATCATGTGCGGTATATATATATATTACTATTATTATTATTATTATTATTATTATTATTATTATTATTATATATATAGATATATATATATATTGCTCGTTCGCTCATAACAGCGTTATACGAGCGCTCTTTGCCATTGCATACTCCTAAATACACAGTTGGCTTTATTTTTAATTGATTTATACATTTATGTATTTACCAATGCCAGCATTAAATGCAGCGAATATATGTGCATAAATAAATGAAAGTGTTAATGACACTGTAGCTCACCACAAAAAAAAGACACAAATGAGTGAGAGAGAAGAAGTCAGTTTTAATTAAGCAACCATCGACGTACATTATAGAAACGAAGAGTATATATGGGAGAACTCCCATTATATACTATTGATACTCTTTGTGACGGTAGATGGCGCTTTACCCGCTTTGATGTTTCTTAGTGATGGCGTTCGAATTAAATAGATTATGCTGCGTTCCGACATGTTTTGTAAAACTTTACTCTAATATAGACGTTTTATCGGCAGGGTGGAGAGGAAATACCAATTTTGCATTAAAGATATTGTCAATGAAATCTTGTAAAACGAACCAGATGAGTGTGACACCACAGACTGTTATTTGCGTGTCTATATAATATGCTATATAATTGCTCACATTAACCTACCTAATTTGCATAATTTTTTTTTAAATATCAAAAACCCCTGTAATACGTTTTTGGGCCAGCCCTTATTCATTCACATACCAAAAATAAGCAAAATCCGTTGAACCTGAACTGACTAATGGCAATTTCCATGTTTGCCAAAAAATTGGCGTGGCTCGAAAGTACGTCGACTGGCATGCTCCAAAATAGGACGTTCAAACCTCTCCCATAGCAGTAACAACTATACCCAATTTCAAACATGTGGGTCAAGCGGTTCCTGAGTTACCGTTGACCGTAGCCAAATGTTGACGGGAGGACGTACGGACGTACGACGGACGACGACCTATGGCAATAGCTCATCTTGACGATGTCAAGGTGAGCTAAAAATATGGCTATTTAACTACCATCGAGATATACATAGAGGTATGACAAGCACACTTACTTTCATTATAGCCGTTGTAAAGATGGGCAAATTAGTCCGGTAGTTGAAGGTGAAATATCGATGCTACCCGGAAAACATTGTATAAAGACGATTTTTACACCAGATCAGCAGAATGTGTCATATAGAACAACATATCCAAAATCCGCAAAAATCCACGCTGGGACAATTTTTTATGAGTCTTTGAATATTTTGCACTTTTTTGCATGTTTTGTAATGGGAAATGAGCATGAGCCAGGCTCGTCAAGTGATATAGTGGGGCAGATAAGTGAAAAAATTGTGTTTTGTAGTAAAAGCACAACAAATTGGCATGAATGAAGTTAAGAGTATACTAAATGATTTTAGATATAGTGCCAAGCTAATTCTTTTCCGTAACGGCCGTAACAATGGAAAATCCAAAATGGCCACAGCGCGATTCTCATTATCTACTAATTGTTCCATTTTCGTAAATATTTGACATAAAGTATCATTTTATATGTTTTTTTGACTTGCAGAATCTAATGGTGTGATTATTTCGGTGAAAAAATGCATTATCTGAAAATAGGGCGCAGGTTAATGCTAACATTCAAGATTACCGCCATCTGAATAGTAAATATCTGTCCTATCTTTGTCAATATTTGGCATAAAAACATGAATAACGTCTCCTTTTCAGTGTTTTTCACCATTAACCTGTGCCCTATCTTCAGATACATACATCATCTTCAGATACATACATCATCTTCAGATACATGCATCATCTTCAGATACATGCATACATGTATAAATGGTTAGCAGTAGCAGCAACACCACCACCACCAGTAGAGGAGCAGTAGTACTAGTAGCAACAGCAACAACAGTAGCAGCAGGAGTCGTAGCAGTAGTAGCAACAGCACCACCTTTGACGTTTGACATTTGACATTTGAAACTTGACACTTGACACTTGACATTTGACATTTGACATTGGCGAGTAGGCGAGTAGGCCAGTAGACACTTGATACCTGACATTTAACATTTGACACTTGACATTTGACATTTGACACTTGACACTTGACTGACCCCCCCACCCGCATATGCGCTATAGGCGGCATAAAAGTGTATTAACTCTCATATATCGCGAACGAATTGAGATACATTTCTAGAAATCTAGATACATATAAAGACATTATCTTAGCTATAATAAGATTGAGATTATTGAAGCACGAATAGTCTAATTAATTATCAAATATATACGCACGGCAAGTGTACTAACTCTAATATCTCACGAACGATTTGAGTTACATTTTCTAAAATTCTAGATACATATAAACACATGTCTTAGCTATACGCCCTGGGAATATTGAGTTTATTGACGCACGATTAGTCAATATATTAGCAAAAATATGCGCGCGGAAGTAAATTATTTAATGTTCGAACCACCCGACTCCGAACCCCCCTACCGCACCCGCCTGTACTGTGTGTACTGGCGCATTGTACAGGGGTGTTGCTATCCCCCGGGCGTGGAGGGACGGTCAGGTGATACAGTTGACGTATACTTCAAAATCATTACTCATACGGTAAACCTAACTCCAACACCTCCAATGCTAACCATAACACTATATATATATATCTCGGAGCGCTATATATAGGGGGTGTGATCCACAAAAATTAATCTAACCTACCTAACTCTAACCTAATACTAATTACCCTAACCCTAACCCTAATACTAATTACCCTAACCATAACCTAATACTAATACTAATACTAATAATATTAATCCGAATACTAGTGCTGCCACGTTGCGGTGTCCCTCCACGCCCGGGGGATAGCATTACCCATTGTACAGCTGGTACATGTGTTGGGATTGTATACAGGCGGGCGAGATAGGGGGTTCGGAGTCGGGTGGTTCGAACATTTAATCACTTCGGCCGCCATCTTGAATTCAAAAATGGCCGCCGTCATTTCTTAAAAAATTGCTATATCTCGGTTAATAATTAATCTTCGTACAGACTTGAAAATTGACTGACAGACGTAATTTGGGTTACATTTTATACAACAACGTGATGCATGTGATCCAAGGGCGTTTTCGGCCACCATCTTTTATTTAAAATGGCCACCATAAAAATTACAAACTTAGCAATTTTTCCGTTCACGGAAGATATAGAGACGTGAAAATTTGCAGACTGGCGCAGGTTAATAAGCTCTTTCATATTAAAACAAGACACACAAGTTCCAATTATAATTACAGCGGCCATATTGAATTCAACATGGCCGCCATAAGATTTTACTCTGTACTTCAAAATGATCAATGACATAGTAGAACAGATACAAACAAACATGGTGAAAATGTTGAATTACCGGTTTTTCTCAGTATATAACAAACACAATGCCAAACTGGCAATCCCCAGCGTGAGAGAGAGATAATTCAAGACAACAAGTTGTAGTATACAGTACACAAGAACATGCATGGCAAGCTAAATAATACTATTGTCTCGATGAAATGTCTCGATAATTCAAGACAACAAGTTGTAGTATACAGTACACAAGAACATGCATGGCAAGCTAAATAATACTATTGTTCAAGTTAAACAAATGTCTCGAAACTCCATTGTCCACAAGTTGTCACAGATTGTCACTGAGTGGGGTAAAATGTACCTGCACAAACACAAATATAGTACATGTACGTACAGTATAGTGTCTGTTATGTGCGTGCGTTCTCGCGGGCGTATAGGTATCTGTTATGTGCGTGCGTGCTTGCGCGCGTATATAGCTATCTGTTATGTGCGTGCGTGCGTTCTCGCGGGCGTATAGGTATCTGTTATGTGCGTGCGTGCTTGCGCGCGTATATAGCTATCTGTTATGTGCGTGCGTGCGTTCTCGCGGGCGTATAGGTACCTGTTATGTGCGTGCGTGCTCGCGCGCGTATATAGCTATCTGTTATGTGCGTGCGTGCGTTCTCGCGGGCGTATAGGTACTACCTGTTATGCGCGTGCGTTCTCGCGCGCGTATATAGCTATCTGTTATGTGCGTGCGTGCGTTGTGTGTGCGTGCGCG